TTACTGCAGATGGAGGATAATGATAAAATTAGTGAGTACTTCAACGAAATACTCATAATCACGAATCAAATGAAGGGTTGTGAAGAATCTATCACTGAGCTCATGATTGTTGAGAAAATCATGAGATCTTTGCCGCAAAAGTTTGATTATATAGTGGTGGCTATAAAAGAATCGAAAGATCCGACAAAGAAGAAGATTGAAGAACTTCAAAGTTCTTTGAAGGTACGTGAGATGAGATTAGTTGATAGAAATCCCATCAAGAGTGATAAGCAAGCATTGAAGGTACATCACTTCAAAGATGATGAAAGAAAGAAACAAAAGAAGTGGAAAGGAAAACAAGCAAAGGGAAATTGGAAGGCTGACAAAGTTAAAGATGATCAAGATGACAAATCTGATTCAATGGAGAGAAAGGGTAGATGAGAAGAATCAAAAAAAGAAAGATAAAAGAAGTGTGGACTGTTTTAATTGTCACAAGTTCAGACACTACTCTTATGAGTGTTAGGCTGATAAGGAAAAGCAAAAGAAGTATCAGGACAAGGAGACTCATATGGCACAAGAAGATTCGGACTCTGAACCATTGACCTTAATGGTAACCACCACTATAGAAAGTTTTGGCTCTCAGATTGAATCTTGGTATCTAGATTCAGGATGTTCAAATCACATGACCTGTCATAAAGAGTGGTTGATCAACTTTGATACAACAAAGAAAAGCAAGGTAAAATTTGTTGATGGTAGTACTTTGAAGGTGGAAGGAATTGAAGATGTTGTCATTAGAAGGAAGAATGGTTCGCATGTAGTAATCTCTAACGTGTTGTTTGTCCCTGCCATGAAGTGTAATTTGTTAAGCATTGGTCAGTTGGTGAAGAAAGGTTTTATAGAAATCATGTGAAATTATGACAGAATCGAGTTATTTGATATCATTAAGAATTTGATCTTGAGGAGCAAGCTTTCCAAGAACAAAACATTCCAAATAAACATGAAGGATGTAGAGAACCTACAATGCTTGTCTACTATGAAGAGTAATGATAGATGGATGTGGCATTTGAGGTTTGGTCACTTAAACTTCAAAGATGTACAACAACTTGGTGTTAAAAACATGGTTTCAGGAATACAAAATGTTACAATACCCGAGAGTGTGTGTGTGGCCTACTTGGCTGGAAAATAAACCAGAAAGTGATTTCAAGCACAGTTGAGCATGAGATTCAAAGATTGTTTAGGGGTGGTATACTCTGATATATGCGAACCCTTTGAAGTGCCTTCATTAGCTGGAAACATGTATTTTATTACCTTTGTGGATGGATTTAGTAGAATGATATTAGTGTATGTAATCAAATTAAAGAGTGAAGCATTAGAAATATCTTCCTACGCTTCAAGGAATGTGTAGAAAGGGAGAGTGGAAAATTGTTGAAGATTCTTAGAACAGATGGGGGAGGGCGAATACACCTCTAATACCTTTGAGAGTCATTGTCAGACCTGTGGAATCGCACATGAGGTTACTAGACCATATACACCTCAGAATAATGGACTTGCTGAGAGAAGAAATAGAACAATCATGAATATGGCTAGAAGTCTAATCAAAGAGAAAGGATTGCCACAAAAGTTTTGGGGTGAGGCAGTATCAACAGTTGTCTATATCCTAAACAGGTGTCCTATAAAGAAGCTAGAATGTAAAGTACCATTGGAAGTTTGGTCTGGAGTAAAACCCACAGTCAGTCACTTTAGAGTTTTCGGGTCTCTAGCTTTTAGACATATACCTGATCACAAAAGAACCAAACTACAAGATAAAAGTGACGCAATGGTGTTTATTGGGTATCATCCTACTAGAGCTTATAAACTCTATGATTCAGTCAAAGAGAAAGTGGTGTTGAGTATAGATGTTGTGGTGCTAGCACTAGTGGAAAAATGACATTTTATGACATACAAAAATGATATATTATGACGTAGTTACTGGAGACATAGTTCTGGGTGTTATAGTAAGTCTGTGCACTTTATGACGTAGCATAAATTTACTTATAATAGCTTAAACATATTATGATGTAGTTTCTGAAATTAGTCATAATATGCGCAATTTATTATGACAAATTTTCATTTATCCGTTATAATATGACAAAAGATATTATGACGTAAATGTGTTGATATGTTATAATATTTTATGTATTATGACAAATATTTTTACCAATCATAATTTGTTGAATTCAGAATCAATATATTATGACGTACATTATTTAGTACGACATAATATATGTTTTTTTTAAAAGATTGATTATTACAATTGACATCCAATAAAATTATAATCATATTCCTGTATTATTATCTCATCCAATCAAATTATAATCAATATAGCTTCAAATGAACAAATTCAATGGAACTAACAAAATATAATTCATTTAAAACATTAAATTGTCTAATAATATTTAATACATCATTTATACATGAAACTATATATTAAATCCAAATATTACATTAATGTACATACACTATTGAATTCTAGCCAAATTTCTAGTAACACTTAAAATAAAAGAAGCCCAGTTCCTTCCAATGTCTTCCATGTCTACAGCTCCCATGGGAGATGAATCATTAAAGATCTACAAATAAAATAATAGAGTTAAAACAATATTGTAATGAATAGTTAGATAAGTAATACCTTATTCCATGATTCAATCATGTTTGTACAAATAACGATATACATATGTTTGATTACATAATACCCACACTCATAGCTGCCCAATTGACATCGACACTACAAATTAAATACAAATAATCAAGACTCATTCAAACCAAGGACACAAAATATCATATTATACTCTAGCTAGCCTTTGCACCATGTAACTTTGATCAATTTTGCTAAACCAAATTTCAATCAACCAACAACATAGCCAATTCCTCATAAAAATAGCAATCACAAAACACAAAACAAAGGTCAACTTCTCTTACATTAGGTGTGATTATTTGCATCTTCTTCCTAGAAAAAGATGGAACACCCCGCAACCTTGAATGAGCTTCCAAAGACCTATACAAAAGAAAGAAATCAATTACAACATAATAATAATATAGGAAGGAATCAAAATAGAAAGGAAAACTTACGCCTCTAATATATTTTTGATGGACAATGTGTTAGCTTTCTTATGCAAGGAGCATAAGAGAACTACAAGAGAATGATCAGGAACAATAACTAGTAATTGCCAATGCCCCTACAAGTTCTTCACGGTTTCCAATTTAATAATAAGATATTTCTCGGATAAAGTAAAAATATATGGCAAGTCAAATATATAAAAGGAGCACTTCACATGGGTCCAAATCAGGATTTGGTCACTGATGGACAAATTTGTAAGCACCAAAATATGATGTCACAAACTTGTTTCACAATCGGCAAGTATGACCGAATCGTTCAAGTAATAAAACTTGGTAAGACCAAGTATCGTTCTTCCCAAAGGACTCACGGCCTAGTTTAGTTATGTGATTTCTTGATTAGCTAAGACTTAAGAAAACAATAATTGAAATTTTAATATGCAAGACGAAAATAAACATGTATGCATGAATTGATCAATGGCAAAGACAAAAGATAAACACTTTCAATGGAATATATGAATGAATATGTTGTTGGGGGTCAATTTCATCTCATCCACTCTCATATATTTTAGGAATTCATCATTCAAATCATCATTGTTAATGCCACTCACTAATGTACCATTCTAGATGGCTTCTCCCTAATCAAATAGTTCATACAATTCCTAGCATTCCTAATGATTAGTTCATGAGTGCAGGAGCTTAAGGCAACCAATATAATATTGTCAGTAAAATATTGGGAGAAATTCCCCGGATCTAGATTTCCCCGTACGTGTCCGTATCAACAAAACCAATAATCATGCATTAGAATGAGTTAAACAATGCAAGCATTGAGCAAAGAGGAAAAACCCTAACTAATGATGAAAAGAAAGCATATGTCTTAATTCAAAGATGTATTCAACAAATCCATATATGAGAGCTTCAAGAGATTACATTGATTCCCCAACAAACATACAAGGTTTAGTTCACCATATTCATGGTGAACCTAGATGAATAACAATGAAAGTATGAAAGAATAAACCCAATAAAGGTGAAGAGGTAGCCTGAGCATCCAAGATCCTCCTTCAAAGGGGTGAAAGAGAGAGTGTTTGCCTCGTTTCTGCCAAAGATGCCTAACTATAGGACGTGCAAGCCCTTATATACTAATCTAGAGTTACAAAAGATTACAAAAGCCCAAGCCCAAAAAGTGCCGCTCAGCGCCATTTACCGCTCAGCGGTGGTTACGCGTCTTCTTTCTTCCCCTCAGCGGCCATTTTGCCCCTCAGCGGTTCCAACGCCACCTCTTGAGTGCCGCTCAGCGGTAGTTTGCCGCTGAGCGGTGCCTTCGACTTCTCCTTTTTGCACTCTTTCTTGTCTTTTCTAATGTCCTCTCTCTTATTCTTCACTTCTTTCACCAAATTCTCCTCAAAACCTGCACAAAAACACTTAAATCAAGCATAAACCTGTCCAGCTCTCTTATTTCTGAAAATATAAACAAAAGGCATGATTTCAAGCTAGTTTCTAAGTCTAAAGGTTGCTTTTAGTATCAACTTTAAGCATGAAAATAACAGTTTTTCAACTGTTATCAGTCACCAATAATTGCTTCTGCCTAATTTGCTCCAAACCTTGGGTGAAGGCAAGATACAACCAGAGAAGGATGATTGTTAGATCCTACACATATTACAGCCCTCAATACGTTACTAAACAGGATGAAAATAGAGAAACTATTATGAGCATTTCTTCCTGTCATACCAAACATGAACAATGACTATATTATATAGGATGTCTAAATTTTGAAAGATGAGAGAAAAGCAATACTTAGGCAACTCTATCAATAACTCTCTAGAATGTCTTTTTGTTTTAGAGAGACCAAATTATCTTTACAGTTTATTTTGTATGCCTAACTTTTTAACTTCTAATTTTATTAGCAAGAGTGACTTATGATAGAGAAAAAATTAATGGCCAAGGGAAAGAGTTATATTACTTTTGCGTCAAATGGATCTTTAAAATATGAGAGTGGAACCAAAACAAATATAAAAGTTTAGCTTGACAAATCGCTTCTCCGTCTATGAATCTCAATGCTTAAGTAATCAACTGGACCTTGAACTGCCACATGAGGCTTTTCAACCTTCACTCGAACAGCAAAAATTTCTTTATGATTTGTCAGAGTAGTTATTGCAATTTTTTGGGCCACTGATTCCAAAAGGTTGTGAGGTGACCCTTCGAGAACTTCCTTAACTATACTGCATCACAAATTATTGACATGTTAATCAGATTACAACTACTAAATTAAGACATTAACCAATACGAAGAGTGCCACTAGAAGTTCATGCAATCAAATGATGAATACAGAACTAAGACATTCTAAATTTGTTGGCCACTCACTCATATATTGTTGTGTAACTAACTGTATTAGATAAATGACCAATTTTGCCAGCAGTTGCGAGATCCATCCAAGCATCTATATCTACCACGAACTTCTGGCCCAGTTTCCTTTCTTCTGGCTTTGCTCCGTGAAAACCATGGAATGTCAAGGCAGTAGTAAACCAAAGAACCAACAAAACTAAAGTATAAAACGTGTACATTGAATTGCTCAACAGAAAATGCTTTAGCTGATAATCAAGATGGAAACATAGAACATTGACTTGCTCAGTATCATATACATGTACACCATGTACATTCGAGACAAGAATGTAGTCTCTTAACAAAAACAAGTATGCAATAAAACCACAATTTGTCATCGTTTAACATCTCTCTGCTATTAGGGGAATACAGGTTCAATATTGAAAAAGTCTTTTATCTGAATTTTAAACAACCAAAAAGAAACATAAACTCCAAAAAAAAATTCCAGAGATTTTCTTCCAGCCAAACCAAAAATACCAAAAGCATGTAGTTTTAATTGAAATAAATAAAATCAAAATTCATACAAATAACATCATTATGGTGAGTAGAATAAAGGGCTAAAGACATCTTTGTCGTAGTGTAAAATCAAGTCCACGAACAAGGACACAGCGAAAGACGGTGAAATCAAAGGCGAACCCTAGATTCGAAGGTTTGTCCTGAGGAGATTCTAGGGTTTGAGGTAGGAAGGGATTTAATCGGTGGAAAAGGTTGGAACGAAGATTTAATCGGTGTAAATAGATAGAAACCGATCTCAATCGGTGAAAAAATAAGGAAAAGGAAAAACAATCGGTCAAAAGGTGAGAGATAAGGAAAACCTAGCAGAAGATGAGGTTTGGTGTTTGAGGCGACGCTCGAGGCAGTGAAGAAGATGTAGTTCGGTGAGGAGCGAACGCGAAATCGAGAGTGCTTTGAGATTAGGTTTTGGTGTTCTGATTCTCTCAAGGAGTAGAGAGCATGAAGATGTGGTTCGGTGATGGTGAGGGAGAAGTGTTCTTGGAGGAGTGCGCGATTTAGAGAGGAAGAGAGGAACGAGAGTGAGAGGGAACGTGAAATTAGAGATAGCAAGAGGGAAATGTGAAAAATTAGAGAGGCAGAGGGATATTATGACTGATTCTAAAACTCAGTCACACTAGTACAAAACAACATACAACGTCAAATATTTTGGGTCTTTCACATCGAATTCGAGAACGACGTCATATCGGGAGACATTAAATTGTCGTCGAATTTAAAAAATTCGACGTTAAATTTAACGTCAAATTTTATCAACAAACGACGTTAATCAATTTTTTTATTTTTTTATTTTTTTTAATTAATTGTTATCTTTTTTACAACTCTGCGAGACCTGAAAAACAGAAAAACAATAAATTTTAGTTTTTGGTATTTTGTAAAGCATGAACTATGAACATGTAATATAGTATGAACAACAAACAACAATGACAAACAACAAACAAGTTCAATCAAACAACAACAACAACAAACAAGTTCAATCAAACAACAACAACAAACAAGTTCAACCAAACAAGTTCAACCAAACAACAACAACAAACAAGTTCAACAAAAAATAACAACAAACAAGTTCAACAAATAAGTTCTTTAAAACGAAAACGAAAATGAAAACTAACCTTGGTTCATCGGAATAAAGTGTTGCCACAAGTGAGAGAGAAAGTAGAATGCGCCTATAAAGGACAAAAAATAATTGGTAAAAAATAAGGAAAATCATATCTAAAGTAGTAAATTAACATGCATTTGTATTAAATGAAAGAAATATTACATGTGATGGTCGTTAAACTTCGTTCGAGATAAGTTTGAGCAGAGAAGAGAGTCTCGCGCGCTAAGATAAAGTGAATGAATTTTCAATCTCCCGCTCAAATTTTTATTGAATTCACTAACCTTTTGACGTCTAACGTTGGGGCACTCGACTTTTTATATTCTTTTACGTCGAATTACAAGTCTAAACGACCTTTAATAATTGCATTTATTTACAAAAATGTCACCGGTCATTTTTAACGTTGGCTATTGAGTGGTTGGACGTTGAACGCATGAGGTTATACGTTATTTTTGCACTATTGTCATAATACATCAAGAAATTTCCACACCTTATGACATGTGTCCATATCTACATAACAATAGGTTTTGAACTTATTTACAAGTTTGCCACCACGTTTCATATTATAACTGATATACAAAACTACGTCATAATATGTCTTAAACTTATTTACAAGTTTACCATTGTGTTTCATGTTATGACTGATGTACAAAACTACGTTATAATATGTTTTACTTTTATTACGATTCTGCCACCAATCAACCTATTATGATGGATAATTTTTATCCGTCATAATAGGTCATCATAGAAAGGTATTTTTCCACTAGTGTAGAAAATAAGAGTTGGGACTGGAAACAAATGTAGACCAGTCTAAAGAAAATAGTGGTGAATGGTGTTATTGATAACTCCATACTAATAGTAATTGAGGAAGCTACTGAGAGCAATGTTGCACCACAACATGTTGCGTCTCAAAGACCATAAAGACAAAGAGTAATGCCACAAAGACTCTCTAACTTTAAGGTGTATTATGATGCACAAGTTGATGATGAGGGAGATTTGGTTCACATAGCATTACTGGCTGGAGCAGAACCTATAAATGAAAATGAGGCGCTAAAACAATTAGTTTGGAGAAATGCAATGTAGGAGGAACTCAGATCCATTGAGAAGAATGAAACATGGAGACTAGTTGATCTTCCAATTAGCAAACGATATATTCAATTAAAATGGGTTTTTAAGAAGAAGCTGAATCCTGATGGCTCAATCTCAAAGCATAAGACAAGGCTTGTGGCAAAGGGATTTCTTTAGCAGCAAGGACTAATTTTTTCTAAAGTCTTTGCACCAGTGGCTTGGATAGAAACTATACGTTTGGTGATAATAGTGGCTTGCACAAGGGGTTGGCCACTGTTTCAACTTGATGTAAAATCAGCCTTCTTGCATGGACCTTTAGAGGAGGAGGTGTATGTCCAGCAACCTCCTGGATTTGTTGAAAAGGGTAAAGAACATGAAGTTTACAGACTGTAGAAAACTCTTTACGGATTGAGACAAGCTCCTAAAGATTAGAATAAAAGGATTGATTCCTTCTTGATCAATCTCAGGTTTGCAAAATGTGTTGTAGAGCATGGTGTGTATGTGAAGAAAGGCACAGGAGAAGACTTGTTGATAATTTATCTATATGTAGATGATCTACTTATTATTGGATCAAATCCACTAGCCATAGAAGAATTCTAAAAGACCATGGAAGCTGAATTCGAGATGACAAATCTGGGAAAATTGAGTTATTTCCTGGGTATGGAATTCATCTACATAGTTGTAGGACTAGTTTTGCATGAAAAGAAGTATGCTAGATAATTGCTAAAGAGTTTCAACATGATTTCATGCAATGCAGCAAAGAGTCTTATTGAGATTAATTTGAAATTAACGAAAGGTGAATCTGAAGAAAATGCAGATGAGACAATGTTCAAACAAATTAGTGGAACCTTACGATTTCTCTACAACAGCAGGCCATACTTGTCATTCAGTGTGGGCTTGGTGAGCAGTTTTATGAGTAGTCCAAAGAAGTCTCATATGCTTGTTGTTAAGAGATTATATAGATATATTCAAGGTACAACCAATTATGGAGTTTTGTTTCCAACTGGGAAGAAGAAATTAGAATTAGAACTGATTGCATTCACTGATTCTGATTGTGGTGGTGATCCAGTGGAAAGAAAGAGAACCTATGGGTATGTATTCATGTTAAATGATCGTGGTGTTCTAAGAAGCAACCAGTAGTAACTTTATCAAGCTGTGAAGCTGAGTATATAACTAGAAGCTATGCAGCATGCCAAGGAGTTTGGCTTGAAGGATTGCTAAGAGAATTAAAAGTTTCTATAAAGGCACCAATACAGCTAAAGATTGACAATATTTCTGATATAAATTTGTCAAAAAATCCAATGAATCGCAACATAAGTAAGCATATAGAGGTGAAATATCACTTCCTTATAAACATGTTGAATAAAGAAATAATAACACCGACTTACTGCAAGACTGATATACAAATGGCTGATGTATTTACAAAAAATTATGAAGAATGAGAAGTTTGATGGTTTGTTATCCAATAATATCGCACAAAGGTACAACTTACCACTCAAATTTTAATGAATATACATACCGTACACATTTTTCATTTTGTTATTTCCAATAATATCGCACAAAGGGACAACTTACCACTTAAATCTAATTTATTCATTGAAGCTTTATATTTTCTATGTTACCGATGATATTCTATAGATAAATCTCTTTTATACTTAAACAATCTTTACATAACTCATTCTTTCTTCACATCATAATAAAAAGAGTTGAAAATCAATTTTAGAGATAAAAAAGTAAATAAATTATTATTTAGATATTGACATTACTCCCCATTATATAAATAATATACTATAGTTATAAATAAAATACAAATAGTTCATAGATATATTTAGAGAACATATTTTAAAATATGAAAACAAAAAACATTACTAGCTCTCGTAAACAAGTTGTTCAATTAATTTTTTACTTTTTTAAAAACAAAAATATTTAAATTATAAAATTAAACTATAACTTTTAATAAGAAATAGAGGGAAAAGTGATAATAAAAAATTAAATAAATATTATCATATGATAAAACTGTAGAGCCTTCTAGATTTTTATGAAAAAAATTCTTGCTGCTTTGTAAGTAATCGTAAAAAAGTCATACGATTTGAAAACTAAAGACTTTTGTTTTTTCAAAGAAAAGGCAAGATATTTGTGACGAAAGTTTATAAATATGTAAAGAGAGAATGATAAATTTAAAATAACTTAATTTCTTAATTTTTTTTACCATCTTCCACATCAATTTTTGAATTCATAAACAAGAAGCAATTGTTTTAATATTCAATTTAAGATTGAGAACTACCAACTTTTCTCACCTCAAAAGGTCCTAATCTTGCTCAGAATATTGCTACCTTTCAAGTAAAAGAGGGTGGGCATTCACTGCAAAAATGTTTCTCAACAAATTCATATATGCAACACTCACATAGTTTCATCACTTCACAACTTTTCATCTTAAAACCTTCTTTACCTCTTACCAAAACATTCATGAATAATGCATGCAATTAATACTCTTACCTAACATCTCATAAAATTATGCGTTTTGAAAAAAAAAAAAAAACAAATCATCCCAACAATGACAAAATAATAAGCTGAACCAAATAAGGTCACAAAATTCTCAAGCGGGAATTAAATACATAATGCTTACATGACTCACTAGTTTGGTTTCACTAGTTGAGAGTCTTCTTTAGGGTTAGCTTGTTTCAAGCTCATTTTCCTAGTTTTTTTTTTTTACAAATGGATGACAACCTTTTGACAGATGATGGTGATTCTATTTTTTCTTTTTTTCATTGCAAAAGATCATAAAAAAACCGATTGCATTATTTATATCTATTTGCAAATCATTCCAACAATGCCATAATAAAAAATAAGAAGTCACAAAATTCTAGAATCATTGTAAAAAGGAGAAAAATCTGTTTTAATTGTAAAAGAAGGAAAATCTGATATTTTTATGCCTAACCGATATAAATGTTTAAAATATGCAATTATGTCTTTGTCAATGCTTAATTTACTGATTTGTTTTATTTTATAAACATAACTAAAGCAGACAATTTCTCCTGCAAGTAAAGTAAGGTATTAATTAGTTTTATTTAATTTATTATACAATTTTTTTCTGATTTAAAATAATGTTATTCTATTTATAAACACATTTTTTATATTGGTGTTTAAAACGTAATAAATCTTAGTGGTATCCAAGTCTATTACTGTAGCTACCATTTTAGAGTTAGGGATGAATTTTAATATTTATTCTTGGTCATAAGGAGTACTATCAAATAAATATTTAAAAATAATTATGGTAGATGTGTGAAATTTTTTAAATAATTATGGTAGATGTGTGAAATTTAGCACTGATCGATGCATTAATTCCAAACAAATCATTCTTTAAAAATACGTTAGACTTGGAATGCGTTTAACCAATTAAAATAAAATAATGTTTCACTAAAAAATTAAATCATAAATATATAATACTTTTAAAGATTTATATATTTTTTAAATATAAAGACAACGTTCTAAAATAAAATAAAGTAATATGAATGTGATAATGGAAAAAGGTAACGCACATCCATCTCCCATTTTTGTTGATCAAGAGCAGATAACATAAAAAAATGCGACCTCACACACGCATAATAAAAAATTTTTGCAATTATTTCCATCAATTTTTTAACACATTTTGTCATCTTAGAGACTTTGCAAAGTTTTTTTTCCGTACGACAATTGTCTACAAACTAGTTCAATGACAACCTTCTCTATTTGAGTTGATTTATTTTGACTTTTATTAATTTTTTTTTATTCATAAAACATTTTCATTTCAAAAGCAACTAAACTTGTAAGAACTTACTCAAGTAAAGTGGAACCTTGGACTAAATCCAGAAAGTCCACTACTATAAAATTGTCTTAATGAATATTAATTTTTCCAGATAAAAAATTCAAGTTCATCATCAAACATCTCATGTATCATCTTCATTGTTGACTTCAACTGCATTATTTTCCATTTGCTACAAGCAATCATATCACCAAACTAAAGTGACCATACTCGTAGTGTCATCCCATTACATATGATGTTGTTGTTCCATGATCTACTCTCTTCCTTGTCCTCTTTATTCATGGCTACATGCATGTTTCCACTAGCTTGGTTTGTAGTATTGGATTTAATGGAATTCATCGTTGTGGAAATTGTTTCTCTTTGTGAATGTGATATTCCAATCGAATGAGCGTCTTGATGAGTCGAACGTAGAGGGGAAGTTAATGTTGGAGTTAAGTAAAAGCATACTGATAACTTATTTTTGTCAGGCAAAAGGGTAGGTTTTGAGGTGTTGTTGTAGTTAAGCACATGGATATCATCTAAAATGTTGTTATTAAATATAGACATAATATATAAATTGTTATTAAGCACATGGGTAAGATCTAAAATATTGTTATTAGGTAAAAAAGGTAGGATCTATAGTGTTGTTATCAAGAAAAATGATAGGATCTAAAGTGTTGTTATAAAGCAAAATGGTAGGATCTAAAGTGTTGTTTTTATCAAGCAAAAGGGTGGATCTATAGTTTTGTTTTCAACCAAAAGTGGATCTATAGTTTTGTTTTCAACCAAAAGGGTAGGATCTAAAGTGTTGTTTTAAATATAAAAGGGAGGACTAAAGGTGTTGTTATTAAGTAAAAGGGTAGGTTCTGAATTATTGAAATGGTGTAGATTGAGGTTGAATCCTAATGTTTAACTTGGACGTGTGAAATTGATAAGTTCTAGCTTAAGGGGTGGAAGAGAGTAGGGATGTAATGGTGTGAAGATAAAAATTTGGAATTACAGGTGATGCTTGAGGAGGAGGATGAGGAAGATGAAGAGGAGTGGGATGAAAAGAAAGAGAAGGAAGGGGTGGGAAGGATGAGGAGAAGGAAAATTCATTCGAGTAGTGTGAAATTTTGTTTGAGAGTTGTGAATACATCCCAATCCTTCTCCTAGCCTTGAATCTTCCATTTGGTCTAAACCTTGAGTAAAAGAAAGTTGAAAGGACAACAATTGATGTTGTTGATGATGGTCCAGTTGTTGTTAATGCTCGTTGGCAAATTTCATGGTAGTCTTGTGGTATTTGAAGGCAATGACAATCTCCTTCCTTTCCTCTACCATATTCATTGGCCTTTGTCTTAATAAGCCATGTTGGTAAGTCTTCTTCTAACTTGTTTTCTTAGTTGTTGTTGGGCATGTTGTCCTAAATTTTGATTTGCAAAAGCATGGTCGTCAACACCAGCACAAATTGGATCTTTGGTGTTCATGGTGGTGTGTGTTTGTTTTGATTTGTCCATTCTTTTTAGTTGGTTGTAAGAAAAGAGAGCTGAGGAGGAAGGGATGAAAGAAGAGGAGGAAGTGAAGAAGGAGGAGGGTCTTATTGAAGTTCCATTAATTTTTTCTCTTTGTTTCTTTAGAAACTATTTACCTCTTACTTCTATGGTGTTTTGTATAAACTTGGGTATCAATTGAATTTAGAAAAGGAAGGGTAGGTTGGTGGAATCATGGGTTTTCTCCAATAATAGATACTTAGTGCATGATATATAAGTTGATAATGAAATGAAAATGTCCTAAATGTCTTTCGAGATTACTATAAAGTGTTAGGGAACACAAATAACTTTTATGTTGTTTTTGGACTTCTTTCATGTTTTGGTAAACTATTTTATGTTTGTTACTCTTTTATTATCTATTTTTATTTTATGTTATTCATTTTAGTATTATCATCAGGATTATGAATGAAGAAATGGAGGATATTATGATAACTTGTCATAGGTTAGTGACAGATTTTAAAACCTTAATATTTTGTGCATATTACTTGGAGTGATGACATTTCTAGCTATTCATATGCATATCACTATTCTTTATTAATCTTTTATGTTAACAATTCAAAAAACGTAATATTTAACCAACCACCTAAAGGAAGACTTGAAAATGTATTTTTGATAATTCAACTTTTGATCCTTGAAAAAAATTCAGATATAACATATTCTTGCACAAATTCAATACAATAGATTCGTTTTAAAAAAAATAAAATTAGAAAAAACTAAAACATAATTTTTCACCTATTACTTTATAATTTGTAACTTGCATCTTCTTGTTTTTCAATAAAGATATTTAATTCTTCAATATTTAAAAAATATTGGTTTTATTCTAATTGTTT